GCACACACCTTTAATCCCAGCACTTGGGAGGCAGAGCCAGGTGGATCTTTGTGAGTTCAAGGCCAGCCTGGTCTACATAGCAAGTTCCAGGACAGCTGGGGCTACAGAGAGACTCTGTCTCAAAAAGACCCCCCCCCCAAAAAAAACAGGAGGTATTATTCCAGTGCAGAAACAGTGGGATAGAGTTCCCACATCACCCAGGGAAGGTGACTGTGACCTAGACTCCCTGACTCTTGACCCCCCGAACAACAAACCAATACACACTGAACTGTACTCTCTGCAAGGCGGGCTGCTGTGTGCCTTCCTGAAGCTAGAATGAAGACTTAGGTTTCCCCTTGGAGACGGAGTGAGTTGGAGCTAAGTACAAACCGTTTGCATTCTCTGGGCAGACTGGAAGGCTCACTGTGGGGCATCGAAAATAGGAAATGTAATCTCATTGCCGGAATTTGTGCATTCCCCGGGAGGTGTCTGCCCCGCAGATCCAGGCCTTTCAAGTCTTCACTGTGCAGCCCCGAGGGGCCCCTCTGTCTTTCTGTTTTTCCCTACTGTGTCTGTCACTCCACCCCACCTCCTACTCTGCCACTCTCTTGCTTCTCTCCTTCCATGGCCCTGCCTCTGTTACCCTACTTGCCTTCTCCTTCTCCCTCACTTTCTCTGGACTGACAGAAGTCTGGTCTTCCCGACTGACCGGCTAATTGAAGCGGAATGCTCCGGAGAATGTCAGTGGGAACCACGGCATCAGTCAGCCCGCTCTGGCATCAATAGCTGCCTCCTCCCTCTGCCTGGTGTCTAACTGGATAAGGCATCTCCCTCCATCAGAGACAAGGGACAGGCCATCTTGGGGAGGCCGAAGGTGGCCTCTAGGCCACCCTGCGGGAGTCCTCACATCTTGACAAGGCAGATGCCCAGCCCCTGCCTGTGCCCAGAAATCTGACGTTGCTGGAGCTGCATATTAAGTGATCTAAGCCTGACAAACAGTAGCTGCAGCTGCAGCGGCAGCCTCCAGGGAGGGGGTAGGGAGCTACCGAGGGCTCTGTGGCAGGCCCCTAGCCCTGTCACAGTCCCCTGGGCGATGGCTGAGCATGTTACAGTCCCCAGAGTGGAGCAAAGGAATCTCGCTGTGTGACAGACACCACTTAATATACTACACAGACTGCAAAATAGTACTCCCACCTCTGACCTCGAAATCCCCTGACGTAGGAATGGCTGCCTCCATTTTGTAGAAAATGACTCTGCAGTTCAGAGAGGCTCCCTGATTCCAGAGATCATGTTCTTTCCCTTCCACCCTGATACCACTTGAAGGTGCTTGATAAGTAATATGCAAGTTCTAAAGTCAGAGAACATAGCAAAGATTAGGAAATCACGTAGCCAGAAATCTTCCTTGGCTAGCTGTTACACCGAAGAAATGTTTTTTCTATTGCAATTGGCCTACAGCTCTTTAATTAATTAATTATTTATTAATTATTTAATATGTATGGCTGTTTTGCCTGCATGTATATATGTGCACTGCCTGCTGAGGCCAGCAGAGGATGGCAGATTCCCTGGAGTTTACACACTGTTGTGAGTCACCATGTGGATGCTGGGAATGGAACACAAGTCCTGTGCAAGAGCAACCAGTGCTAAGCACTGAGCTACCCAGCCATCTCTCCAGCCCCGCCCCCACCCCCAGCTTTCTTTTCTTTACTTTCTCTGGACTGACAGCAGTCTGGTCTTCCCGACTGACCGGCTTACTTACTACTGCTGGCTGTAATGGGGCATAATACATTTTTTCTGGTTTGGTGCCTGTGTTGTGTTCAGTAGAGCCAATGCAGGTTTGACGCCATCTCACTGTAATGGGCATCTGGTTGCGAGGGGGCGGGGCTGGTACCCCGAGGGAGCACCGTGTCCTCCTCTCTCAGGATGCTGACCCCTTTCCCTCTCTCCCAGGCTATGGACTCGGAGGATGACCCCCTGCTCCAGGACGTGTGGCTAGAAGAGGAGCAGGAGGAGGAGGGCTGTAGGGGGTCCCAGCAGCCGGGCCCGCGGCCCCACAGGGGACAGTGCTGCTGGCGGCGCTGGGCTCTGCCCTCCTGGCCCCCGGCCTCGGGGTTCTGGAGCACCCTGGGCTGGGCCTTCACCAACCCGTGCTGTGCCGGGCTGGTGCTCTTCCTGGGCTGCAGCATCCCCGTAGCACTGTCGGCCTTCATGTTCCTGTGCTACCCGCCCCTGGACATCGACATCTCCTACAACGCCTTCGAGATCCGCAACCACGAGGCGTCGCAGCGCTTCGACGCCCTGGCCCTGGCTCTCAAGTCGCAGTTCGGTTCTTGGGGGCGCAACCGGCGCGACCTGGCTGACTTCACCTCCGAGACGCTGCAGCGCCTCATTTCCGAGCAACTGCAGCAGCTGCACCTGGGAAACCGCTCGCGACCCGCAGCCCGAGCCCCACGCGCGGCCCCTGGGGCCCCTGTAGCCCCCACTGCCGCTCCAAGCCCGGCAGCCAATCAGAGCAGGCGCCGACGCCGCGAGGCCCCGCCCCCCGCCGCCACCATAGCCAATCAGAGCCGGGCCCGCAGGGGCACCTCGCGCTGGGATTACTCCCGCACTTACCTGAGTGCCAACACCCAGACGCATGCGCACTGGCGCATCGAGCTCATCTTCCTGGCACGCGGCGATGCGGAGCGCAACATTTTCACCAGCGAGCGGCTAGTCACAATCCACGAGATCGAGCGCAAGATCATGGACCACCCGGGCTTCCGTGAGTTCTGCTGGAAGCCCCACGAGGTGCTCAAGGACCTGCCACTGGGTTCCTACTCCTACTGCTCCCCGCCCAGCTCGCTCATGACCTACTTCTTCCCCACTGAGAGGGGCGGCAAGATCTACTATGATGGCATGGGCCAGGACCTGGCGGACATCCGGGGTGAGCAGGTCCCCTGGGTCTGGATGAAGTGACAGGAGGCAAGGACAGGGTCTTGAGGACAGGGTGGCAGGGGAGGAGGTGAGGCCGGGATTGGGTGTGAGGTGAGAGGCAGAGGCGGGGCAGGCTGGCTTGAGTGCCCACTAGAATTGTGAGGCTTAGATGAAGTCTAGAGGACAGAAAGCATGGAGTGGGGTTGGGGGTTGGTGGCTAGAAGGGACCTGGAAGAAAGAGAAAAATAGGAGAGGGGGACTTGAGAAAGGATAGGGCCTCAGCCAGAGAGTGATTACAGCCAGGCTTAGGTGGGAGATTGGGTCTTTCTTGTAAGAGATGACATGGCAGGGTGGAACATCAGGATGTGGGGCTAGAACGCGAGTAGAAGATTGGGTTACAGGAATCCAGACTGAATCTTGGAATTGGGTTGGGGTTCCAGGCGGAGGAGCTGCATGCCTGGGAAGCTGTAGGTTCTTTTAAACAGGTTGTGCTAAAGGGCGGGATGGTGAGGAGGGCAGGTCGGAGCTGCCCACTGAGCCCTTTGGGTTCCCCTGTCCCCTGCAGGCTCCCTAGAGCTGGCCATGACTCACCCCGAGTTCTACTGGTATGTGGATGAGGGCCTCTCGGTGGACAATATGAAGAGTTCCCTTCTGCGCAGTGAGATCCTGTTTGGAGCACCACTTCCCAACTACTACTCAGTAGATGACCGCTGGGAAGAGCAGCGGGCCAAGTTTCAGAGCTTTGTGGTCACTTACGTGGCCATGCTGGCCAAGCAGTCTACTAGGTAGGAAGTCCAGCCAGTGCCCGTGGGAGCTGGCCCCTGTGCGTCCTGGGTGTAGTCCAGCTGGATGTGCCTCTTCTTCATAAGCCCCAGGTCACTTTTCTCATTCCTTTTCCCCCAGGAAGTCTTTATTCCCAAATCCAGGCAGAGCCAAGCACATCCTTCTGTTCCTCTTTTCTTGATCGGTGCTAATGGTTAGTGAACATGACAGCTTTCAGGGAGGGAGATAATTCCAGAACTCTCGCCCTAGAGGGCTTGGGTATTGATTTTTTTCTCCCAGGATGGTGCTAGCGATCTCTCTGGAAAGATGATTGGCCATGAAGGAAGCAGCTCCTTTCTGCCTCTGATACCCAAGGAGTCAGTGGGCAAATGACTTCATTTCTCTGGGTGTCAGTGTCCCACTTGTTAGATGGGGCCTGTGATTCCTGTTACCCTGGTCATTAAGAAGAGGTAAGCTTGGGGCTAGAAAGATGGCTCAGTTACTAAGTGCCTGCCACATAAGCCTAAGGACCTGAGTTCAGATCTCCAGGCACGACGGCATGTGTCCATAATCCCAGCACTGGGTAAAGACAGGCAGATCCCTGGAGTTCATTGGCCAGCCAGCCTAGCTGAATCAGTGAGCTCCAGGAATAATGAGACTCTGTCTCCAAAAATAAACTGGAGACACCTGATACATTTCAACTTACACACACACACACACACACACACACGAGCATATACATATGCCACACAAACAGAGATGGGCTAATAAATATAGAGGTGTATAGGATGGTGGGTCTGAGAAGACAGCTGGGCTCCTTTTCTTTCAGGGCAGGGCAGCAATCTTGCTATGTAATGCCTCCTGTGTCTTCCCAGTCCCCATCCCTGCTGACAGGCCAAGCACAGGAAGGCTCCTGCCTGAATACCCTGGTTCCCTCCATTGTTCATCTGTTGTACTGAGTGACCTCTATAGTAATCAGAGCTGGAGTTTATTGACCACTTAACACTGTTCTGGGTCCTTTTTATACTCAGTCTCACACTGACCCAGTGTGGCAGGCACTATTCTGATGGTCTCTGCTTTACAGATGAGGAAACTGCTGACCAAAGTTTTAATGCTCACCATCAATGGGATGTGCTTCCCATGAAGGCTTTCTTGTCTAGAACACCCACCCTGTGTGTCTATAAGAGCCAACGCACTAGGAGCCATCCCATGGCCTACTTCGTCTATGAAGATCCAGCTTTGTCTGTTACAGTGCATTGTGATATCTCTGGGGTCACCGCCCACTTACCTCATTGAGTAGTTCTGAGAGTTTCAGTGACCATTCTCACCTCTCCCAACTGTGCTTTCATCATGGCACCTGCCACTCTGTATTTTAGTAACTCCAAGTGCAGTCTTTAAATCAACTTAAGCATCATCTGTGGGATTATTAGGTCTGCAGACTCTCAAGCCCTTTCCTAGACCTGTGACATTTCCAGGTGATTTGTGTACTCTATAAAGCTTAAGAAAGTGGGGGCTGGAGATATGGCTCAGTCAGTAAAGTGCTCACCGTGTAAGTATGAGGATATGAGTTCAATCCCCAGAACCCATATAAAAAAAAAAAAAAGAGGTGTGGCCTTGTGATGTCAACACTGGGGAGGTAGAGACAGTGGGACCCCTGGGGCTCACTGGCCAGCAAGCCTAGCCAAATTGGCAAGCTCCAGGTGAAAGTGGGAGACGCTGTCTCAAAAAATAAGGTAGAGGGGCCAGATAGATGATTTAGTGGTTAAGAGTGTTGCTCTTCCAGAGGACCTGAGTTTGGTTCCCAACACAGCTTACCTGTAACTCCAGCTCCAGGGGATCCAGCATGCCCTCTTCTGGCCTCAGTGAGCGTCTGTACTCATGTGCACATGCACACATACACATAAATAAAAACTAAAAGATAGAGAGTGGCAGAGGAAGACATTTGTGGGTTGATCTCTGGCCTCCACACACATGCATACACATGCACATACATACATATACACAGGAGTTTAAGGGGCCAACAAGATGGCTCAGTGGAACCTGCTGCCAAGCCTGATGACCTGAGTTAGAATCTCTGGAACTCACATGGTGGAAGGAAAGAGCTGACTCTTACAAGTCAACTTCTATTATCTTTTGACTACACACACACACGCACTTTCAAGAAAGATCTTGTTTGAGAACTGGGAATCTTTCTGGCTCACTTCTGTAAGCCTACCCCCAACACAGGGCCAGGCTCTGGTAAGGAGTAATTTGAGGAATGAGTGGCTGAATGGATGAATGAAGGAAAGCCGGCTGAGGAAGGGCTCTTCAGTACTTCAGACAGCACAACACGTCCTCTGATGAACTGTTCAGCTAGTACGTTTTTCCCTACAAAGTAACTGATCCTCCCCTCCGTTCCCCCCATCCCCGTTCCCTCTCCTTTCCCCTCTGTTCCTCCTCTTTTTCCCCTTCTCTTCCCCTTCCATTCCCCATCCATTTCTAGCAGTAAGTGGCAGCCGGGGGCCCCACAGACTTTACTGCAACGCTTTCTTTTGGATTCACAAAATCCTTTTTATTATTGTATTATTCGTGACCCAAGAGATGAAACACGCGCCTTGACTTAATAGAGAACTACACAAACCGCCACTTTCATGGCTTCCTGGATAACGCTGCATCTGAGAACACTTCCACAGCACTGACTGTTCTCCGGGCCCCTTGTGGTTTTGCAGCATGTGTTTTAATTGTGTATACATTTTAAACCCCGCAGCCCCTTCCATCTCGTGGAGATCTGCGTTCATTTCTGTTTATTCGCATACTTACCGTTCCTGTTGCTCTCCATTACGTTCTGAGGCTTCCTGTTTTCCTCTGGGACTGTTTTCCTTGTGTCTAAAGAACTCTCTTTAGTATTCTTTGAGTGCAGGTTTGTGGTGATAAAATCCTCTGTTTTGTTTACTTAGAAAACATTTTCATTTTGCTTTCATCTTGAAATCTACTTTGCTTGTTCCAAATTGGCAGTTATGGGTTGGCTTGTTTGTTTGATTTTAAGTATGTTAAAGATGCTGTTCCATTGTCTCTGGCTTCCATCATTTTTTGTGGAGAAGTCAGCTGAAAATCTTTGTTGTTGCTGCTTTTCACTGGGGGGTGGGGTGTATTCCACAGAGTGCATAAGTGTGCAGAAGTCAGAGGACAACTTGTGGGGTTGGATTTTCTCCTTCCATCTGGTGGGCCCTGGGGATTGAACTCAGGTTGTCAGGCTTGGCAGCAAGCACCTTTACCCACTGAGATACCTTGCCAGCTCTTTAAAAATGATTGTTTTGCCGGGCATCGTGGCTCACGCCTTTAATCCCAGCACTCAGGAGGCAGAGGCAGGTGGATCTCTGTGAGTTCAAGGCCAGCCTGGTCTACATAGAGAGTTCCAGGTCAGCTGGGGCTACAGGGAGACCCTGTCTCAAAAAAAGACAAAAAAAGGGATTGTTTTTCTCTGTCTTAAATTTCTATTTATTTTTTATTGTCTACTAGTCTCACTGTGAGGTGTATGGGTGTCGTGCTGTTTTGTGGGATTTTGTTGTGTTTTGTTTTTTTAAATTTGTTCTGCTTGGACCACAGAGCTTTAATTTGTAGGCCAATGACTGAAATTGGTTTTAGGAACTTACAGTTATCTCTTCAGATATTTCTTCTGCCTGGTTCTCTGTACCCTCTCTTCTATTATTACTTTTTTATTTTAATCCTGTGGGGAGAGGATATGTGCGTGCCATGGGGTGTGTATGTGGAGGTCAGAGGCCAACTTGCAAGAATTGGTTCTCTCCTTCCACCATGTGGGTCCTAGGAATCAAATCATCCGGCTTGATGTCAAGTGCCTTTACCCTCTGGGTCATCTTACTGGCCCATTTATGGGCTCACAATGTTGTCTTTTCACCGAGTGCTGTCTGTCTTCCATGTTCTTTCCCTATTCTTTTCACTCTGTGCTTGTATAGATGACACAGTTCACTAATCGTTTTTCAGTTGTGTCTGATCTGCCATTTGATGTCTGTTGGGTTTTGAATGTTCATGTTTTTCTGTTGAGAATTTCTGTTGGATTCTTTTTATAGATCTACGTTACTGTTGAAATTCTGGTTTAATTTTTTTGTCCATAGTTTCTGCTGTTCTTAAATATAGTCATTGTATTTTAATTTTAAAGTTTTTATTAGCTGAATTTCAATATATGGGCAATTTATGAATTTGTTTCTGGTTTCTGTTCTTTTACTTGGTTTGGGGTCGTGTGGTCATGTCTGTGGGCAGCCTGGTAAATCTTCATTATATAATGAATATTTTGTGTAAAATCACAAAGGGTCCAAATGATGTTTTCTCTACCTACAGTTTATCCTTTCCTCTCCTAGTCAGTGGCATGAATGGTCTCCTTCAGCAGTCAGTGACTGCAGTCAGCCTCCTACCCCCCTAAAAAGTCTCAGCTGACCTCTAGTTGGCCTGGGTTCTCCTGGTCAATTTCAGCTGGGTGGGAGCCTGACATCTCTTCCTCAGATGGCGCCAAACTCTTAATTTTTGTCTACCAGAGATGGAAACAAACACACCTCCACCCAGCTTTTCCTGAGTCTTTCTGCTCAGGTTTTTTTTTTTTTTTTTTTTTTTAGCCTGGTGACATGCACTCCCTGTCCTCAGCAGAAGTGCTGAAGGAAAACTGGCCAGTGCTTGCCTGGCTCCCAGGACTCTGCCCAAAGCTCTTCTCACTTTTCTGACCCCCTACCAAGAGGTTCAACCTTCTGCCTGTGTTTGGAAGCAGCAGGTGTCTCCAGGGTAAGCGCAGTCATGCCAGACCTGGGCACCTTTCCTAGGCTCTTCCTCTCCACTCTCGGCCCCTAGTTCAAGACTTCAGCAACTCTCTGCTGTTATCAGGCAGATGATCTCTGAACATTATCTCACCTTTTAGGACAGTTAGTCCTCTGTATCCTTAGATTCTACTTCTGTGAAATAGACCCACCATTGATTGAAAATATTCAGGAAAAGATTGTGTTGGTGCCAAATATGTATAGACCTTCTTTTCTTCACC